TTTCTAAATGCACATATATCTATGCCATCATACATTCATTGATGAAAAATTTGCCAATATAAGTCAATGTTGTGTCCTTGATGGATTCATTCACTTATGTGAACATTATGTGTACATAATTTATAGACCGCTCCTATTTTTGTAAGGTGGCACACTCAGAAAATCAGCAGGGGATGAAATACTTATTTTCCCCACTGTAACTGTCTTTACCCTGCACACATCACACACAAGTTCTACCTTTTCATTCCAGTGAATTTCAGACTATTTAGTTAAAGAGCCATCAAATTCAGGAATCAATTTTGCCAACAATTCTTTTAGAAAAGGGAAAAAAGCTAACAGTGATTCTCCAGCTACTGGCCTCATATCTCACACTGCAATACTTTTTGTACACTTAAACCAAAATTAAAATGAATCACCTTATCCTAGGTCTTGTATTTACTTTTATAATGAATAATACTATCAAAGTTCAAATATATATCTCAAAATGAAAATTTTTTGATGATTATTTTCAAAGAAAGAAGATTGAAAAGCCAGAAATAAACAATATCATTTGTATTGTTGTCAGTTTAAAATTTGAAATGAATGTGGGTTCACTTGTTATGACAGAATAGAATTTAATATCATGTGGTAAATGGTTTTAAATTTTAAATGTATTTTAACACATGCATGCAATTTAAAACAGATTTTATTAAATGTTGATTGTTTCTTTTTAATTTAAACACAACACACATAGCCTGAACATTGCATTGAAGCATAAAACGTGGTCACTGCTTATTGTTTACCTCAGCGTCCATTTATACACACACACACACACACACACACACACATATAAGATGTGCTATATTTATTGGATAAAGTGCTCAATATCAGAGATAGAGCATGTGTAAATATAAAAGTGAACATAGAAGTCAACACTTAGAGGCAACAGTCTGTTTCATGCTAGATGCAATCGGCAGGCCTGACGATTGCATGTAGCATGAAACAGACTGTCGCCTAAGTGTTGACTTCTATATTCACTTTTATATTTTTTATATATATATATATATATATATATATATATATATATATATATATATTTAGCTTATGAAAAACCAGGTAATCTGTATGGGTAAACCCAAGGAGGATAAAATCCAGAGAGCTCAATGTAAATCCAGAGCAAATAATTTAAATAAAAACAGACCACTTTAAGGTTCCATGTACTAAATTATTTCACCATAGCCCTTTTAAAGGACTGTGGATCATCAGACTTTACTTCCAAAGGTTGAAACAAAAAATGAAAAGAAATTAACACATTTTAACAGGCCGTATTAAGCATATGTAAATTAATGAAGTGAGGGGGGAGAGAGAAGACATGAGTGAGTTAGATGTAATTTAAAATTTCTATTCTTTCATACTCAAAGTGTCTTTTTCTAGCCTGTTTTTTTTTCCAATGAAAATTAGTGACACCTTCTCTCATGACTTCCTTCTCTCTTTTTCTTTTTATGTGTTTTTTCTCCTCTACCCCTTCAATATCAATATATAACTTCCGTTAAGTTAACCGTTTAAATGTGTCAATGTCTGGACCTCCTCAAGTAATTTTGAGTATGAAAGAATAGAAATTTTAAATTACATCTAACTCACTCATGTCTTCTTTCTCCCCCCTCACTTCCTCACTTCATTAATTTACATATGCTTAATATGCCCGTCAAAAATGTGTAAATTTCTTTTCATTTTTTTTTTCAACCTTTGGAAGTAAAAGTCTGATGATCCATGATCCTTTAAAAGGGCTGTGGTGAAATAATTTATTACATGGAACCTTAAAGTGGTCTGTTTTTATTTAAAATATATATATATATATATATATATATATATATATATATATATATATAAAAACAATTATATCCTTATTCCTTACCATAAGATATTACTCAAAGTTTCATACATTAGGCATACTTGAATTTTCATGCACTCCTTGAGTTCAGACCACTGAGAGAAATATTGGATAGAAGTCCAAGCACATTGACAACCACAAGCATAGATTTAAACAATATATTGCAGATATAGCAAGGGATTAACCAAATTATTGCAAATCTCATAATTTAAAAAGGGTGCAAAATCTTAAGCTTCTCTAATTTGTAAAAGATTTTAAACTGATTCTATATTGATGCAAAATTACTTTTTCATGCATTATCAGATTTATACTTGTAAATTTCTGCAATATCCATATAACAGGTATGAATATACAGGAAAATCATCACATAATAAGCATTCCTGGTATACAAAAAGAAACTACTCTTTAGGCCCATGGTAAAACAATGCTGAACGAAACTGTTTTTTATATGAACAAAGAAAAGAAAAAAGACAAAAAATAAAAGTGGTTAAAGTGAAAGGATAGGGTAAGTAAACCATGTTGAAGATTAGCAAAGATTAACTGGATTATGATTTCAATTACACCAATATGTGGTTGAAACATTCTATTCAACAATAATCATGTAGTTGAAGTGAAAATGTAATTTTCTGATTTAAACTTTCAAGTGAAACGGAAATTTTTTCAATGAAAAGAATCTGAAAGGTAAATAAATTCCAACAAATTACTTTGATATTTAAAAAATGCTCCAAAAAATAAAAAGTATTACTTGCTTTGATTCCATTACTCATTACACCGAGAGTCCTTGTGTCTGAAGCATGAGTAATTAAATATAAAACATTTAAGAAGAAAAATAATCAAAAAGTGGATGCACCTCTCTTCCACTCTCTGACATTAATGCAAATGAGTTTCAAGAAACATTAGTACCATTATTTTTAACAACCAAGAAAGAAAAATAATGCAAACTCCACTGGTTATAGATAAGGATAACATCAATATTTAATCCTGCATAGCTGCTAATGCCTCCAAATTTTAATGTTTTGTCACATTTCTTGCATTGCAGTATAAATCTACCAAAATTAGTTACAAACATTTCATTCTTGCATCACTTCACAATGTCATTATAATTTGTTTTGACAATGAAAAAAATTATATCCTTTCACTTAATCCATCATCCTCATAAATCTAATCAAATAATCTATGCACATTAAAATTAAGTGAACTTAATTATGATTAATTTATCAGATTTTATGAAGGATCTGTTTTTATTCAAAATCAATGCTAAATATGATGGCTTTCATATGATTCAAAGTCAATTTTGTTAAAGCTTTAAGCAGACACTTTTGCTGTACAGCAAGATGATTGATATATTTACATCAATGTAATCAACATAATTACCCAAAGAAAAAACTATAAAATTTAGTTTCTTGCTCAAATCTTGATAATAATTTTCTTCTGGCAGCCTAACTTGCTGCGCAAAACCTCAGAAAAACAAACTAGCATTAAAGAAAGTAAACACTAAAGAAAATGGTAAAATTGATTCCCTATGAAATAACTTCTAAAAAGCCATAAATTCTGATATTATAACTTCATTTAAATAAATCTATTGTACTTTTCTAAAAATCAAATCAGTTTTTGAATGAAAAAAATCCTTGTAATAATAAAATTAAGAGGAAGAATAAGTGGAGCAGTTTAACAGTTTAAGAGTAAAGATGACTAAGCATTTGGTCACATTTGGTTCAGCAGACTGAAAGATTTTTCATAAAAATTAATTTTTCTCAACAGACAGGTATATCATATGATCCATTTACAGAAGGCATAAATAAATATACATATATTTCATAAGGAAAATTTCTTAATAGTTGAAAATACACACATATAAAAATAATATATAGCATCAAAAGATTTTGTCATTCTTATTGATTATCTCTAAAAGTATTGTGTTAGATTTAACATAAGACTCAGTATCAATTGCACTAAACACAACAATTTAATAACATTAAAACAATTTTTTTTAAAGACTTGACTTATAAATACTGATGATAGAAAATCTTGAAATAAGCAGATTGAATTAGTCACGTGTAGACAGCACATTTTAATGATCTAAAGGATTTAATAACTAAATGAAAGCTTCATTATATATCTATGCCAAGATTACAATCAAAGGCTAAAAAGGACAACTTTCTAGTGAAGTACAAATAACAGATTATAGTTTTAACTAATGATGATTTTAAAGGGAAGCAGTAAAGTAGATCATATTAAATATCTAAAAATATTCTTAGGAGTTCTTGCTGAGTTTTTCAAATTCATATTTCTTGCTTTATTTTTGGTTTAATTTGACTGACCTTTTTACTACAAAAATTGACTATAGGTATGTTTTATTGGCTTCAAATAGAACTGCACTACCCTATTTAACATCTAAATTTGATATATAATAAATATATAATAAAATAATAACTGATGTTTGATCAGAGAGGATTGTGCTTCCAAAACAGCAGAATTAATTTCAGTAAAATAGTTTTTAGAACAATGACAAATGAAAAGAACTGAAACCTTACAAATTAGACTAATCTTCATTTAAATGCAAATCAATTAAAATTACTAATTTAGATCTGGATTTGATAGATTAATATATATAAAATGTTTTAATGTTATAAAAGTACAAGAAAGAGACAGTATATTTGTACATTTATGTTGTATATGATCAAATATGTTATCTAATCATTTAATAAGTCAAAGTTGGTTACATTAATATTCATGTAATCTGGAGAGGAATATATATTTCTAAAATACAACCTTCAAAACTGAAACAGATCACAAAACAAAATCCTGTAAAGCCAAGCTCAAAAGACAGGGTTATAATTAGAGTTCCATGATGAGAAAACCTAAATATAACCCTAGCAATATATTAATACCAAAATCTATTCTATCAATCACTCATCTAAGAAAAGGAAATAGCCATAAACAAAAATATTTGTATTTTTGAAATGCCACCTGTTTTGATTCTAACTTCACCAATTGGTCCAGACAGTTTGAAACATCCCAAACTTTCTTGTTTATCTCAAGTTGTAAGAATTGAATGGAGCAATTTTTAAGAAAAGGAAAGACATGAACAAAATCTATAAAATGGAAGAACGAGATAACAATGAAATACCTTGAGATATCTTGGTGTGATGTCCTTGCTCACAGAGATTTCTTTGTCTGACAAATCAATGCCATTCAGTGGGTAAATAACTTCTCCAATGATCTCATCTCTTGAGAATCGGTCAAAACTAAAGACAACAAAGTGCAGGGTGATGTTTTGCAGCTGGTTGAAGCTGATGCCATAAAATGTGAAGGTTTCGTCATACACAGGATTCAGGGTCTTCCTCAGGATTCGAGTTTTACACTTGTACTTCTTTTCTGGCAACAGCTGCAGTTTTATGTAAGGGTCACAGCTGCCTGCAGCTGTGTCAGTTGGCAAAAGGTTATCAGCCTCTAGGATCGTCACCAGGAGTGAATTCTTCTGGGTATCATAGTTGGCCAAGAAATGCAACGTACCCAGGTGGGGCAGTCGTGGTTTGTTCCTCTGGCTCTCATCTTTTTCCTGTATCACATCCTCTTTTTCATTTTCAACAGAGTAGTCAGCCTTAAGATCACAAGGATCAAGCAGAGATTTGTGTTGTTCAGCAGCCCCTTTATTGCTTTCAGTTAAGGATCTTCTATTTTCACAGGAAGAAGGATATGTTGGGCTTACCTATGTTTTAAAATGATACTAATGTAATCCTTTAGGCTTAAAATAAGCAATGAAAAACATGCAAACATTTAGATCTTTATTGTAAGATTAATAAAACCTAGGTCACTGCCACGCACATACATACACATATGCACATATAAAATATACAGATACATAAATGTTGTTGTACACACACACACACACACACATTGGCTGGAAATTTGCCCCTACCTCCAACAGGGATTTTACACATCAAACATCTGCGTTCATATTTATTTTCTTTTTCAAATACGTAGCTCTTTTGATATGCTGACTTAAGTATTTATTTTATGTAATTTTGTTGTGTTATAGACTATCATTATTATTTCAAATGGGAATAATGTCTGAGAATGAGAAAAATCTATAAATAATGCATTTACAGGATTTATATTCAAAAGAAATGCAGTTCTAAAGTAGTTAAAATAATTAGTCAATAAGGCAACATAAAGCAAACTTTGAATAGAAACCCATTAATCTTTATTTATAATAGCAAATCAAATATGATTTACATAGAATATTTAATACACTGATTTTCAACTCAGGTTTGTGATATGCTAGCACATCACAAACAGTAACTGTCACAAAATTTTCATATTTATGTAGCAAAAAAAACAAAATAAGCTAAGATCCTCAAACATCCTGCAATCTGATCAGGTATTAAGACATCTATATTTATTACAAAGTTCAAATTCCTTATGAAAGGCAAGTTAGAGCAAGAGTCAGTGTAAATCAAATTATTTGATAATTATGTATAGGAAGAAAATTGGGAAGTTGAAATTGTTTGTAAATACCATGGATTCTTTAATGCCATGATATTATGAATAAATAACAAAAATCAAAATTGATTACATTGTATTTCTTTTTTATTTCTAGTGCATTATCATCCATATTGAATACTTAAAGTATGGTTAGTCAGATTAAGATAACAGATTACAAAAAGGTTATAAACCATGAAACAAAGTCTACAAGTATGAAATAATTCAAAACAAAAAGAAATCATCTTTAAATTGGCATTGAAAAAATAGTTTCTTTATCAAGTCATGCATTCATACAAACATTTTTTTAATCATTTCACCTCAAACAACTAAGACACAAAGAGTTAATAAGTGTGAAAGAATAAGAGAAAAATTAAAAACATTATTAAGAAGAGAGAACAATAAAAGAACAGAAATTAAGAAAACAAAAGTTAGCAATTGGCATTGCATTTAAATTTTTAAAGATCAAACTTGACTGAAAAGCAAGAGAAGTGTGAGAAAAGAAACTCTCTACATAGAACAAACAGTTACATCTTGCCATCTCAACTGTAGAATGATGAAATATAGCTGCCAATCTAGTACTATGCTTAGATTTGTAAAGTCTAGGTAAAATTCATCAGAATAATTAGCATGAAAATATTTAAAGAAAAAGTACAGGGCAGCTACATTATAGCAGTAAGAAAGTAACTGAAACTGAGATGCTATGTCAGGACCAATAACATGACAGATTTCGATTTTATCAAGAGTCTCTAAATACATAGCAGAAACACGAAACCAGATGTGGCAGCAACATTCAATGCATGCACAACTTTCCTAGCAGCTGGTTTAGCATTTGTTTCAATATAAACTTTCCACTTTATGTCAGCAGAAAACATTAGCCAAGGTGCAATGAGTCACTCTTCTGAGTGATCGACAGCAAAAAAAGGTTCTCTCATATGATTATAAGAAAATAGTTTCATTTGGAACGCATCAAAATTAACATTTATTTCCCCAGTTAACGACAGATTGAAGCTCATTTTTTAGATCATCTACTAATTTGACCTTATCAAACTAATTAGATTTACCATTAAAACAGGAGTAAATAGTTGATGCCAAGATACCAAGTTGACAACTGTTGATTTTGAAAAGATCATTGATGAAAATTGTGGGTTCTAGGATAGAGCTATGAAGGATGCAAAAAGATCTAAAAATGTGGCCATTCAAGATAATTTTATTTCATGATTTGATAAGTAAAATTGAATCATATCAAAAATTAATCCAGAAATACAATAAGTTTTCAACTTGTGAAGAAGACCAGCATGCCAAACCCTGTCAAACACCTTTTAGATATCCAAAGGAACAGCTCAAGCTTTATCATTCCTATCTAAAGCTTGATCAACGCTAGAAGAAAAAAACACTGCAAAATCCATATTGCTTATCTAAAAGAAGAGTGTGTAAAGTAAGATGCTTAACCAATAACCTGTTGACAGTACAGGAGACTGAGCACTTTTACTGAAACACCATCTCTAGCAAAATTGCACAACATAACTCTCATCTCCTTCCAGGCCAAGAGTAAATTACTAAATTAAATTAATTTAATGTGCTTAATAATTTTCCATATCAAATTTTCTAAACTACCAGGGCTGAGCACCAAAATCCAAATGTAAATGTTTTCTTCAACTTTGATTTCAGTGAAAATCTTAGAACAATCTTCAAATAATTATGAAAATAATTGGAAGTAAATGCAATAAAATTTTTCTTATTCTGTGCTTGTCATTCTCCTTCTATGTTAACCAGAAGTGAAGCTACAATGTCAATTATTGATGAGTACTGAATTTGCCTGATTAAAAAGATTTTCTATCTTTCAGATTAGTACATTGAATGGTAATGACATAAAATTGCTTTTGAAAATGATGTCATCCACTGAAGCCTGATGGCCCTCCCCATTACTTTCCCACTCAAACAGCATCAAACCATTAAGAATAAATCTTGATGTCATATAAAATATCTGAGAAAAAATATTGAAAAAAAAAGAGATTTTTTTTTATTTTGCATGTTTTGGATAGATAAACATCCTCTACCCTTGGGGACTAATGGAAAATTTGGGGAATCCAAGTAAATATCTGATTCATAGCACAATTACTATATATATATATATATATATATATATATATATATATATATATATATATATATATATATATATATATATATATATATATATATATATATATATATATATATATATGTGTGTGTGTGTGTGTAAGAGTGTGTGCACAAACATATATATATATATATATATATATATATATATAACTTAATGCCAAAGAGGCAAAATGTAAAATCTCTCATTACAATTTGGAGCTTGATTTGATGTGGTGGTGTAATGAAATACATATGACGGAATATTTCCATGGAATATCTGCATTGGACAATTTGTGTGTTTTATTAGTGCAACAATGTGATTATGTTTTAATTTATTTCTTCTTGTCTGTGATATTTGGGTATCTTGGTATCTTTTTTCTTTTCTTTTTTAGATCTGTATATTTGCCTGCATATATTCATTTTTTTTTTTTTTGTAGGCATTGTGTATTTTTAATTTTACTATCTATGTCCTGTTGATTTATCTACTATGAAATCACTATAATGCAGCTGTCTTCCCAACGTGGTTTGGGTTTTCGCACAGTTTTTTGCCAGTCCTTATCTGCACTGTGTGAATGATCTTCAGTCATTCTCATTTCATATTTTTGGTAGGTCTTCACATATGTCATGCTGGTTTTTCCTTATAATATTACTGTTTTCTAATGGAACATTGTATGATCTAGGCTACTTCTTTGTGCATGTTACTAAAACTTTTCCCAGGTGATAGATTGGTGGTTCATTGAAATCATGTTCTGGTCATTGTGCAGAACTGGTAGGTCTCTTGCACCACTGACATAATAGCTCTTTTGTATTGTCAGGCATGCACGTAGTCCTTCACAGATCTAATCTTTTGCATATTGGATGTCCATGATCTTTACTGGAGAAATGAACAACTTTTAATTTTCTGAGGATACACCATGACTACTGCTCACCGATGCACTTAATTTTAGAAGGGGACACAAAACCTTCATGTGATGTGGTACACTGTCAACTTCCTTTCATCATTCTGCTATATAACAGCTTCACTGGACTTGGTAGTTTGTATTCAATTGGTAGTATTCTTAGACATAACAATACCGTGTCTATATTTGACCCACTATCTTTGGCTTTCTTCATTATGTTTTTACAGATTGTATATTTCTTTCAGTAAGTCCATTAGCCTGGGTATATTTCTGTGAGGAAGAGATGCAGTCAAACTTAAAGTCTCTGGCAAACTGTCTGAAACTATAGATGTCAAATTGAAGGCCATTGTTGCTAACTACATATTCTGATATCAGATGATCCCCAAATATGGACTTTAGAAAATTTATGAAATTTTAGCTGGTGTATGTATTGCACATCTTGTGGATAAATGGGAATTTGGCATAATAATCAACCACTAACAAGTATGTTTCTTCTGTCAGATAAAAAAGTTTTGTTCCAATTACTTGCCATTGTTGAAATAGAACCTCATGAGACATCATCATTTTTTTTTTCTGTGAGTTTTGTTATTTCTGGCACATAGGATATTCTCCACACATAAATACTGTCTTTTTTGAGGAGGTCATGAAGATTGGCAGTCTGCTCTGATAGTTGTTATATGAATTAGCACATATATGTCACAATTCCCACTACATGTTGTATCTCAGCTTCATTAATAAGAAACTTGAGAGTTTTTATATCCTATATTTTGTGAGGACCTGGGTGTATTCCATTTTCATCATATAGTGTGTCAATGAATTTTATGAATTTGGTCATTTAGTGCTGTTGAATACAAGACCATTTACTTTGGCAGCTTCCATAAGGTTGAGTAAGTTCTTGTCATGTTCTTTTTCATTTTTTCCAAATACTACATTATTAACAGAGATTCTGATAGCTCCAGAGCATTTCTTTAGCATTTGGTCCATCTTGTGCTGGAATATTTATTGGTTCATCACTCATTCAAATGGCATCCTTACAAAGCAGGTTCTGCTAAATGGACTACTGAAACATGTCAGAAGTTGACTCTCTTTATCTAAGCTCAATGGACAAGTAACCATTTTTTGCATCCAGCTTGATGAAATATTTTACTCTCATTAACTTGTGGATTATTTCTTCTTTATGATGGCAACTTTTGACTGTTTTATT